TAATAGCTACAAAATGTGCCTTTTTAAATTGCCAGTGAGCTTATTATTATTATTGTATTATGCTAGTAGCCATAGGGCCCAATGGAGATCAGGGCCGTATTGTGCTTGGTTATGTACATACAGTACATATAAAAAAGAGACAGTCCATCCTCTGAAAAGCTTGAAATCTAAACAGACAAGAAAGACAAAGGATGAGAGAAAGTCAGGATTATTATCTCCTTTTAAAGATGGAAAATTGAGGCATCGAGAGAAAGGGGCAACAGAAGTGCCCTAAAAGTGGGGGGGCACCGGCACCCGAACCGTGGCTCCACACCCCATGCCACCCTTTCCCCATGAGGCCTAGCCCCCCAGCCATCTCTTTCACTGAAGCCCTGCTCCCACACCACCTCTTTCCCCAAGGCCCCATTCCCCTACTGGCTCCTCTCCACTCCCTCCCACCCCCATCGCTCACCCTTACAGCTGGTAAAAAGTGATAGGGCCATGGCCCCCTGGTCCCCTTTGTTCTGGTGCCCCTGTAGAGAGATCAAGACACAGATTCTTAATGGTATTTAGGTGCTTAACTGCCACTGATTTCAATGTAAAGGTGCCTAAATACCTTTGAGGATCTGGACCTCAGTGACTTACCCAAGGTCACCCAGGAAGTGTGTGGCAGAGCAGAGAATTGGCTCCAGAGCTACTGAGTTCCATTTCATGCCTGAACTGCAAGGTCATCCTTCTTTTGACCTAAAAAAAAAGACAAAAAAATCACTTGCTAGTCAGCAGCCACTCCATAAACATACAACAAACCACCAATGTACTTAGTCTATGGAAGATTGCCACAGTAGTCTGGGTACTGTCTCAGCAGCTTTAAATCCCTCTGAGATCTGAAAAAGCCATAAGAACATATGAATGGCCATACTTGGTCAGATGTATGGTCCCTCTAGCCCAATATCCTGTCTTCCAACAGTGACCGGATGCTTCAGAGGGAGTGAACTGAACAGGGCACTTTACTGAGTGATCCATCCTTGTCATCCAGTCCCAACTTCTGGCAGTCAGAGGTTTAGAGACACCCAGAGCATGAGGTTGCATCCCTGACTATCTTGGCTAATAGTCATTAATGACCTATCCTCCATGTACTTGTCTCATTCATTTTTAACACAGTTCTATTTTTGGCCTTCACAACATCCCCTGACAATGAGTTCCACACTGTGTGTGTGTGAAGAAGTACTTCCTTATATTTGTTTAAACCTGCTGCCTAATAATTTCATTTGGTGACCCCTAGCTCTTGTGTTATGTGAAGAGGTAAATAACACTTCCCTGTTCACTTTCTTCACACCATTCATGATTTCAGACCTCTATCATATCCCCTCTTAGTTATCTTTTTTCTAAACTGAACAATCTGTCTTTTGAATTTCTCCTCATATGGAAGCAGTTCCATACCCCTATTCATTTTTGTTGCTCTTCTCTGTACCTTTATTATTCTAATATATCTTTTTTGAAATAGGGCGACCAGAACTGCACTCGGTATTCAAGATGTGGATGTATCATGGATTTCTGTAGTGGTATTATGATATTTATGATATCCCTTTCCTTATGGTTCCTAATATTCTTTTAGCTTTTTTGACTGCCACTGCAAATTGGGCAGATGTTTTCAGAGAGCTATCCATGATGATTCCAAGATCTTTCTGGAGTGGTAACTTCATTTAGTATGTATAGTTGGGATTATATTTTCCATGGAAATTACTTTGCGCTTATCAACATTAAATTTCTGTTTCTCAATCACCCAATTTAGTGAGATCCCTTAGTAACTCTTGGCAGTCAGCTTTGGACTTAACTATGTTGAGTAATTTTGTATTGTCTGCAAATTTTGCCACCTTACTGTTCACTCCCTTTTCCAGATCATTTATGAATATATTGAACAGCAAAGACCCTAGTACAGATCCTTGGCAGACCCTGCTTTTACCTCTCTCCGTTGTGAAAACTAACCATTTACTCCTACCTTTTGTTTCCTATCTTTTTAACCAGTTACTGATTCATGGGAGGACCTTCCCTCTTATCCCACAACTTTTACATTGCTTAAGAGGCTCTGGTGTGGAACTTTTATCAAATGCTTTCTGAAAGTCCAAGTACACTATATCCACTGGATCATCCTTGTCTACATGCTTGTTGACACCCTCAAAGAATTCTAAAAATTGGTGAGGCATGATTTCCTTTTACAATAGCTGTATTGATTCTTCCCCAAAGTATCATGTTTGTCTATGTGTCCGATAATTCTGTTCTTTGTTATAGTTTCAACCAATTTGCCTAGTACTGAAGTTAGGCTTACTGGCCTGTAATTGCCAGGATCACCAAGGGAACCTTTTTAAAAAATTGGTGTTACTTTAGCTACCCTCCAGTCATCTGATACAGAGGCTGATTTAAGCGATAAGTTACATACCATAATTAGGAGTTCTTCAATTTCATACATGAGTTCCTTCAGAACTCTTGAATGAACACCATCTGGTCCTGGTGACTTATTAGAGACAAGACAGATCAAGAGCTATTAGCTAAAAGTAACAAAGTGATATATTCAAGCCCCAATAACTCAAGAAAATGCATTCACCTCCGCATGGTGCTCAGCCAAACCAAACAGTTCAAGGGTACAAATAGATGTTATTTACTTGCTCCAAGGAATTTTGCCATGGATGTTGAGACAGGTGCAACAGTCCATAGGACCTACAACTTAAAAAGGGAATGGCTGTGTGGACCTGAAATAGGATGCCTAGTGAAGCTGCAATGCACCACTGCTACTTGAGCTGGTGCAATATGCTGGTGTAAGTTGTAGTAATGCAAGTAGATGCAGCTAGTGAGTTCAGGGCCATCAGAACATACCCGTAGGTTTGTGACAGCAAATGTTGTATAAAAGAGATACAGTTGTTCTGGAGCAAAAGGAATCACAAAAATATGAATTTCTAGTACATATTGAAGAAGTCATTTGCTGTGCACAACTTTATTGACCCTCCTAACTTATAGACAATGTTACCTATTATTATGTGCCAGTAATGGCAATCTTTCTAACTTTTTCATATATATAGGCAGGGACGAGGTGGGGGGGGGGAGGGAGCCGGTACAAATTACCGGGGCCCGGAGGTCCAGAAGGGGGCCCGGCTTCCCCTCCCTCTCGTCAGCCCTGTTTATCCGGTCCGCCCTTACTGGGGGGGCCGAAAAAATTTTCACCGGGGCCTGAACCCGCTCTCGGCAGCCCTGTATATAGGTATATCTGTTTTGTAGAGCACCCTTGTATCATTTCTCATATATAGATGTTTAATGTGGAGAGAGGGAGTTGGGACAACAGATTTCAAACTATTAAGGTGATATTCACTAGTTTGCTGTCATTCAAATGAAATATTGTTGGTCACATTAACATGTTCAATGCAACCGAAAGCCAACTTCCCACCTCAGTGCTCTATTTAATATCAATTACTTTCCATTTCATTTATTTTTTATCTTTTCTTTTGCATCACAGTTTGTTTGGATTTTTTTTCCAGGACATTTTAGTTTGGACAACTTCAATTTTTTTTTCTTCTGCAGTGCCAACCCCCAGCATTCCCTCTGACGGAGGAAGGAAGGAAAGAAGAATAATGGGGAAAACCCACATATATTTACAACATATTTAATGTATGTCCTATTTATTAAATATAGCCTTCAATAGTTAAACACAATCAGACTTAGAGTTGGTTCCATTGGTCAGGAATCAAAATATAATTACATTTGCTTTGAAGCATCCCTTGAAACACTATGTATCTATCTATATAGAGCATGTTATGATTTATTACATATATTACACTTGCAGCTAGCAGACACAATAGAGATCAGGGTCTCTTTGTGCTAAGCACTGTACAAACATATGGGAGAGAGTCCCTGGCCCAAAGAGCTTACATTCTAAACACTGTTCTCTTTTGTATTGAAACTAGTAGTTTACCTGAGCACGTTGAACTTTTGTGGATCCATTTAAAACCAGATGTTGCCATGATTTATTAAGAGGGATAGTATTGACTCAGTCAGAACCAAAATCCCATTGATTCATGAGCCCCTAATGTCAATGAAGTATCAGTTCACAATCAGTTTCTGAGGATCAGTCGATCCAATGATCAATTCCATTATATCAGGAAACTTAGCAGCAGGCTAATGGTTCCCTTCACAAAGGATTGAGTTTGAAGGACCCGTGGATAGAGTTGGTGATATTTCATGGGCTTAGTTCTTTATTTTTACATTTGTTGTTGTTAATATCTGCAAACTGTAATCAAACAAGGAAAGAAATTATACATGATTTTGCATCTGGTGGGCTGAGACTCGGTGGGATGAGTGGCGGATATAGGGTAAGATTGTGCTTTGCTCCTGATATATCCCTTCTCCAGGACAGCTGGGTGTGTCACTTTTTAGGATATAGAGCACTTCAGTTTGCTCTACGATCAATAACTGTGATCACCAGACACTGAAACTTCTAACGTGTGTAACTACGTTTAACTTAGTAACTGTGCCAATAATGTATAATGATCAGTGGAAGAGAGGTTGCCTGGTCGTCCAAGCTGAGCTATGCCTTGGCAGCCTTCCTGCAAGTATATGTTGCAGAAGAGTGTGTACCACTTATAACCTTGGGCTGGCACTAATGGTTTGGGTCACAGGAATGGCATGTTTCGAAGAGGGAAAAAAATAGCATGGACTCTTCTGAAAATATTAACCCGTCTATTTGGAGAGTAACCGTTGCCTTTGAAACCTCGTTCTATACACCTATATTTAGCACGAGAGGAGGGAAGGAGAAGAGGTTTCAGTTTTAAGCTCCGCTGTTTGCTTTAAAATCAACCCTTCCCTCCATCTGAAACAGGGCACAGAGAAGTGTGGCCGCTGCCCTTTGGAATTATTCCCCCAAATCCACCTTTCCTTTTTCCACTTCATCCCGCGGACCCGCGTTCACGAGCTGGGTTTGCGTTTTTTATCTTCCCCTTTTCCTGCCCCCCCCCCCCCCGCCAAACAGGAGATGTTCCCCAGACGGAGCCCAGGATACTGGTTGGAATCAGATTTGGAGGGTGATGCACCGCGACAGCTAAAAGTTGGATAGAGTTTCAGCAGCTACTATATATAAAGCAGGGGGACTTATGTCACTGCACTAATTAAATTCCATCTGGGTGGCTCCTCTGGGTTTTTTTTGAGCCTATCACCCAACTCCAGCAGGCAGAGAGGCCAAGGGGAGAGCATGATGATGGACCTTTTTGAAACTAGCTCCTATTTCTTCTACTTGGACGGAGAAAATGGAGCTCTGCAGCAGCTGGAGATGGCAGAGGGGTCCCCTCTGTACCCAGGCAGCGATGGCACTTTGTCCCCCTGTCAGGACCAAATGCCCCCAGAAGCTGGGAGTGACAGCAGTGGAGAGGAGCATGTGCTGGCACCCCCGGGCCTACAACCCCCTCATTGCCCCGGCCAGTGTTTGATCTGGGCTTGTAAGACCTGCAAGAGGAAATCGGCCCCCACCGACAGGAGGAAAGCAGCCACCCTGCGGGAGAGGAGGCGGCTGAAGAAGATCAACGAAGCCTTCGAGGCTCTGAAAAGAAGGACTGTGGCAAACCCCAACCAGCGGCTGCCCAAGGTGGAGATCCTGAGGAGTGCCATCAGCTACATAGAGAAGCTGCAGGATCTCCTGCACAGGCTGGATCAGCAGGAGAAAATGCAGGAGATTGGGGGAGACCCTTTTAGCTTCAGCCCTAAGCAGGGAAATGTAAGCACAGCGATTGTACTCAGTCCCCTCCTGCCCCCTGAAAGTCAGCTGCGAAACCGCCTTCCACTTTTTTTCCTCTCCCTCTTCCCCTTCCTTAATATAGTCTGTCAATCCAGCGCGCCGGGCACACTAACGAGCATTTAACAGACTTCGCCAGGGAAGTGTAAATCGTTGTTGAGAAGTCCAGCAGGCACCCAGGCTGCCCCGAGGAGCAGCGATCCTCTTTGCTAATACATGTTCTCTCTCTTTCTCTCTCGCTCTCCTCCTCCCCCCCCCTTCCTCCGCGCTCTGCGTGTTTACTTCAGATCCCAAGTTCAGATTTCCTGAGCACCTGCAGCTCCGACTGGCAAAATGTTTCTGATCATTCCAGAGTGCTGGCAATCAACGCCAAAGAAGGTAAACTTCAGGATTCTCTTTACATGTGCATAATGTATATATCTGTGTGTGTGTGTGTGTGTGAGAGAGAGAGAGAGAGAGAAAGAGAGATGGATCGATTCCGTTAGTGGAAAAAAATCTTACTGACAGTGCCGAGAAAAAAATGAACACTGTTACTATATTGTACGCTTCTATATAGATATTGTAAGTTTGCTCACAAGTGATGTTTCCTTTTCCTAATATGTGAATATAGGTCCTTGTTAGATTCTCTCTTTCTTGGGGCTATGTTCCTTTCTGTCATTTCCTTCTGTGTATCGATCCCTGTTTAAAAAAACTAAACCAAACACTCTATCTTTTTTTTAATTATTAACCAGGAGCCTCCATCGTTGAATCTTCAGCCTCTAGCAGCCTTCGTTGTCTTTCTTCGATAGTGGACAGTATTTCTTCAGAAGATCCCAAACTTCCCAGCGTGGAGGAAGTGGTAGAGAAGTAGATCTGCATTTGGCCTGGTAGTATTTTGAACGCAGATAACAAGGAACTCACCCCACAACCTATAAATGAAATAATGAATTAATTTAATATTTTAGCAATCCCAGACAGGGGCCTTGTTCAAGGCACTAGTAGGCAGATAAAGTTGAATCTTCTTAAAAAGAAATGTTCCTCTGATAATTGTACAATCCAATTTTCTTTCTTTCTTTCTTTCTTTCTTTCTTTCTTTCTTTCTTTCTTTCTTTCTTTCTTTCTTTCTTTCTTTCTTTCTTTT